CCATCAACTTACACCATGTATGGTGCTGCAGCTATGATAATCCGGTTGCCTCTTAAGATTGCAGTTTAGCGCACTGCGGTTTACTCTGTTCCTGTATATGTTTGTGAAACATGACCATTAAAGGTAGAGGACATGGGAAGACTTCAGGTGTTTGACCACCGTTTCCCTCGTAGTATAGGTTTTGTGTCGTGGATGTCACCACGTCAGTAATGTAGAAGACAGGTCTGGTGTTTTAGGGAGGAGGGGGAAGTCAGTTGATGCATTTGTGAACCTTTATCAATTAAAATACTTGAGACTTGTGTTTTTTGCATGCCTGGTCACCGTTCGCCTCGTTGGGCAGTGTTGCCTGAGGTATGTTCACGCTACAAAAAGGTTTTGGGTCATCTAGACTGGCATCACTGCATGAAGTCTTTGACTGTTAGTCCGAGTCATTTTGGTAGATGCAAACAAGCCGGTTGGTGTCCACGCTACAACAGAAACCAGTGGTTAGAGACTAGATGATTTGACTCAGAATCAAAGTCAGTGGTGCAAATGTATCTACTTGATTTTCATGTCAAGTCGCCATGCTGAATTCAACACTCTCATCCCTCCTTCCTCTCTTGTAGTGTTTCCTACTACTTTTTACCGATTCTTTCTTCATCTTCCATTATATCTCTTTGTTACTTATTGTGGTGTTATAAGGTGTGCAACTTGGACCGTTGTACAGTAATGCCTGATCTTATGTTGATATTGATAGTTGTAATGAACATTTGTATTGGCTGAGGTAAGATTAAGTTCAGAGGCTGATGAAGAGTTGGAAGATTGACATCAAGGATGTGAATTTTATTATAAACTGTGTGGAGAAGCGGAGTGTGCGCAGGTTCCCCAGATGCTGAGGATCAACAGTTATATAGTTATATAACCTTTGTGATAAGGCTATCCGTTTAGTTCTGAGTAACTTTCTTCACACTCGTTTTTACTTATAATAAAAGTACAAATCGAAAAATGAGGTAGAATACCATTTTTGATACTTGAATATGTTTATAATATTTGCGGATACATGGGATTACTAACCTTCATGAAAGTTCCATGGAACCTACTAATGGCATTCTAAGTTTATGGATTTCATTTTGACTTCTTATCATTGTAATATTTACTATCTAACTACAGGAATTCACTTTTTTCTTAACTCTGTGTTTTCGTTCTACTACAATCTACCACAGTCCATAAAGTTTACTCTGTGCTGTCGTATCGCCAGTTTAGTTTGTCCAGTTTCCCTTTAAACGTAGAGTACACCAACTAACCTTTGCTAGTTTTTCTCTTTTTTTGTGAGTCTATAATTTCTACTTGACAGCCTTTACCGAATGAGCCAGCACTACTAGTCTGAATAAAGAACTGAAGTTGGTTTACGCTCAGTGAAGTGAGTGGAGTTCCACTATGTTATTTCTACTCCATTGGTTTCCCTTAAAGTTTTTTACTGAATCTCTTATTGTGTTCAAAGATTACTTAGCAGTAGTCATGATGGAAAGATCTTGATGTCTACCACAAGCCGTCACGTCACAGCTTAATCTTTCCCCGATATCTGAATGCCTTTCAATTCTCCTCAGTATTTTTGGTCTTACAATATAATTCTTTGTCAACACTATAAAGGCACTATATCTGAGAGTAACGGTGTAGTGAAAACTCGGGTTTGTTCGATTTCTACCGAATAGCCTGTTCATAGTACGACTTTTGTACATATTAATTTCTTGAGCTGAACTTTATTTGGTTGGATCATATGATGTGATATGCAACACTGATTTACATTTTTCTTTTCACTTTCAATTAGTGGGTAAGTGTTCAAATTCCGCTTCATAAACGACTGTATCGATTTAAGCTGCACACTTTTTCTAGGCCTGGTTTGTTTAACTGTTAATCAGGTGTCGCTGAAACTATCGATTTTCCTTCTTATAACCGAACTTACAGACTTAAATTTTTCTTCCATTCCTACCCTGTTTACTGTATTTGCATATACCTCAAGCTGTAATACTCTCGATTACCTTGATTTTCACTGTTTTTGCTGGAGTTATGCTGACAGCAGTTGGAATGCACTCAGCAACCTTCCTCACTGTCGTGTTGTAGGCAATGAATAGCTCTTATCGCATACGGGCTAATAATACTACATGCTGCCCAAACTTCGGTAGATGGAGTGGCGTTCTAACCATTCATCGATAGACGTCATTATGCATCGGTATGATGTGTATTAATAAAATGGTGTTTGGTGGGGATCACCGGCTTAGAAACTTAACTTCCAACTAATGGTTTGTTGATTCAAACAGCGCCATCTAGTATCCCCAACCTTCACACAGTACGAGTCGCTTCTAGCCTGGTATAGGGATTTGTACGGGCTTGCTGAGTTGCATTGTAACTCAAAAAAAGTTCCGTTTACTAATAGTTCTATTTTTCATGAATGCTTTGTGATGTACGTGCTATAAAGCAGCTAGGTGGAGAAATGTCTTCCTTATTACGCTGAAAATTCAAGGACCGTATCATCTTTCTCAAGCATTGATTATCGGAAACTGGTAATTTTTTGCAGGAGATTAGTCAAGTATATCAATATGATACTCATTGATATCGAAACCCTTATACAATAGATATCGATCTTTATCTGGTAGATGGCTAGTGTACGTGGTTGTGAAGTCATATTTTTTCTGTCTACAATCAGAAAGGTTACTATATGTGGCTTTACATGAGTAAATAAACACGAAACTAGTGGATTCAAATGAATGCTAATTATTGATGAACTTGACACCTTTTGACCCACTACACTCGAATATTGACAGTGATACAAACTTTAACTGGTTTAGTACCATAACATTGACCAACTAACTCAGTTGTATCTGCTTATTATTGACATTGTTCGTGATGAATATCAACATAGGACCAGTCATTACTGTGTACCGATGCAAGTTGTCACAATTCATATCAACACAACAAGTAACAGTGTAGTAAGATGAAAGATGGAAAAAGAGAGAAATCCGTCAAAGACAGTAAGAGACAGGAAGGAGGGGTGAAAAGATGCTGAATTCACTAAAGCAGTTAAGATAATGTAAGGGTACAATTACGCTACTGACATCAATTCTAAGCCATATCACCTAGGGTTCCCAACCAATTTGATCCGCATTGTTAGACAAAGAAATGACACACAACAGTCCTGAAACAACAATTCATAATTAGCCGCTGAGAAACGCACCCCAAACATTTCCAGTCTGTCACTCAAAGTGTACAGAAGACTATAAATCTTGTCAGCATCTCTCCGTAAAAGGAATATATCATTTGTGTATTTTAAATCCTCTGAGACTAGATAAATCCCTGTAAAGTCAAGTGAGCGAAGAGAGGCCCCCACAAACGCATGTATGACAAAGTTAAGTGAAAGAGAGATAGAGAGAGAGTGGACACTACTGACAGATACCACTCAAATGGTCATTTATATGCCAAGCGTATCATTAAGATACTATAAACATAAACTGTTTATCAGACAACGAATCAATAAGTAATGAAATGATAGTTACAAGGCAACCAACACGATCTCAGTAAGAAGTTATTTGTATCCTCCATAAAAGTTACTCAATGCGCACTATGGAAACTCTTGTTTATGCTTTCAGAGTAGTTGCTCTCTTTATGACAGGTCTATGCTTGTGTCAACAATTTTCGCATACAGGTTACTCTATTCAGTTGACCTAATTAGATGATTAGAGCCTCAAATGATTGTTGACGAGAAACAACTTAATGGTTGAAATCTAGTGAAAACCAATCCAGACAACAGTTAGTCATATACACTTCAACAACCATTGTTGCATTACATAGTAGAGTATAAACCATGTACAATATCTAAGAGTTGACGGTGCTATCCAGTTACCCAAACCTAAGCAGATGTAGTATGCTGGATCGCTTAAATCAGTTCTTGGTAATCGAATCATGAAACCAATTAACCATGCCTTAAGTATTCAGGTGGTTATTGATTGTAAGTTATCTGATGTCCATTTTTATGTTTACTCAAGTTCTCAGTACTGATTATCTCGAAGTTGTGAAAATTTCTGTCGACTGAAAGTTGTCTACAAGTTGATAACCCTTGGTAATACTTCGGTCTCGTAACTCAATCAGTTGACTGTCACATTGATAACTCGAAGGTTGCTGGTTTGAATCGTGCTGTGACTCAGGCTTCTATTTTACCTCCAATCATTATTCCATTTCGTGAATATTAGCTGGTGAACTGGGATTGTATCAGCTATCCTCCTCATTAATGTGTTCATTGGTGGGCGTTAAGGAGTCCGTGGTGTAATACTCAAGGAAAATCATTTTGATTTCCCAAATAAATACCAATGAATCCAGGTAGTCGCATTCATCTTCAGTTTCTACTTAAGCAGTTATATTTAAAAGAAAGTGTACAAAAATCGACCTTATGAGTTGGAGGGAGTAATCAGCGCTTGCATTATTGATCATGAACATGAAAAGCATGAAACGTACTCATCTACCTTGTACACATCTGTGCAGTAGGCAATGAGCTACACGTATTATGTGAGAGCTAGTGATACCATCTGGCTGCCCAAACCTTGGTAGGTGGAGCAAGGCTCTGATAATCATCTCTCTAAACTACTGAGCCACAACTCTACCATTATTGATCCAATGGATTTCAAATGTCAACTTTACTCTTCATAGAATCTAGAACTCATTAGATTTCTTTTGGTGGATATCGTCCGGTACAAAGTTACGGGTAATAATAATAGTCAACAAAGATTTTGAATTTTTTTAAACATTCAGTAAATGACCAAACATAGTAAGATTCACAACTTTATTGGTGTATACTTTGTGCTGACATAACTTTTAACTGTAACTTACATGTTATATTTAACTTCTTTTTTTTTGATGGGTAAAATAATTTACTGATTTTTATAACTTTTTATTTACCTTTTTCAATATTTCTATTTTATTTCTATTCAGTTTTATATGTCAGTAAGGTAATCATTTTATCATTAGACGATATGTTCACATCAAAATTAGATGAATGCTTAGTGATGAATACACCTTCACATCTACTTTCTTCCACTTCAATTGATAATCCTCCATGTACACAGACTACTAATTCTAATAATTTCACTAGGGAAGAATATTTTAATCCAAATTTAACAGTAAATGAATCAACTAATGTTATTGTTTTAAACAATGATTCTCATCACAATGAATGTGTTATTATTAGTCAACAGAATGATGCTAATATTAATGGTCAAGATGATGAAGATAATGATAATCTTTTCGATGATTTATCGGCAGCAATTGAGGCTATCAATGAAGCGAATCGTTTAAATTCTACTTGTGATGATGATCATGATATTGATGAAGTTTGTGGCAATGAATCAGTCGACAATTCTAATCATATATCATCAACTATACAACATCACCACCACCACCACCAACAACAACAACAGCAACTACAAAGTGTTCCAGGTATTACAACATTTCGTACAATAACATCTACAGATCACTTTGTTACACATTCAATGTTTGTAAATATTTCTAACACATGTATAAATTCTACCAATCAACTGACATCATTTAAGTGTAATAGTGATGAACTAATTCAAACAAATCAAAATGAGATACCAGTGAATCATAATACTGGTATTAGTAGTTGTAGTAGTACTAGTAGTATTATTATGCCATCATTATTGACAACTTCATCTCGTCCTATGAATACATTTCCATTAAGTTGGAGATTATTATTACGACCAATATTTGAAAAAGCTTTAATTGAACGTTTATGGACTAGTGGTGAATTGGGTTCATCAAATCCACACGCTTTATTATTATCTATGTGGTTCTATATATCACGTCATTTCGGTATTGGTTGTCGTACAGATCATGCTAAACTTGCTTATGGTAATATTATTATCGGTATGAATGCAACAACTGGAGAACGTCATCTACAGTTTACAAGGTAACTATTCAGTTTAAATAAAATAAAATTATCCCATGTTGAAGGAGAGGATTTAAGAACTAACTTAGTCAGTCCATGGTTAAAAGTAGTGTATATTCCAAAGTTGGAAGATATAGGTGACGTTTTGCCTATCACATTTAGTCCTCAAATATCAATCTTTTAAAAATAGGGCGAAAGTGACTTAAATATAAATTAATGAAGGGTTTTCTCAATGGTCGGGAGCAATGGTGGGTAGCGAAAGCAAGAGAGATGATAATACTCGACAACTATCTATGGTTATTGAGGATACTAGAAAGAAAAAAAGTCGATGGTTAGATAAAAAACCATCATCGAAAAAGACGGTACGCTGATAATCTCCCAGGACAGGCAACTACAACGTTGCACAGAACACTTTGAAGCACAGTTCAAGTGACTCTCAACAACGCTTAAGTTGCCCAACATCTAGCCTCAAAATGAATTGGACGTAGATGATGGTCCTCCAACTCTCTTTGGAGTTGAGAAAGTTGTATAGAGCCTGAAACCATGCAACAGTATAGAAATATAAGGTGGATAGAAAAGTTGAAGTAAGAAAATAATCTGAGGATAATAAAGGTCAGTGCGAATATTCAAGCTTTAGAAGACATCATGGTGAATACATCTGCGCCACTGTGACCTGTTTTCAGCAATGTCACCAACAGTCCTCAACCACTGATTCCTATGGTCTCAGTCATCCCAGCCAGGGAGTCTACATCTCTTCCACACCGCTCAGACCGACAGTCAGGGACTTCATCGACTAGTGCAATGTTTTGGTCTGGGCACTCTGAAACCGTGTCCAGCATAATCTAACTTCCCCTAGCATGGCACGTTGAGGCAGGCTGTGCATAGGTAGTACATGTTCAAGCCCTCTCAGCTGATTACACTTCACCGTCTGATCAATTCACTTAGCTGTCTTGCATAGTACCCTTCTCCTGACCTCAACATTGCTCACACGGTGATTCCGCCGAACACGGGCAATGCTGCAAAGACATCTGTGATTCAGAACCTGTAATCCCTTCATTTCTCCTACTTTTAACGACACGTCTCACAGCCGTATAACAGAACAGAGCGAATTGCAGCGGAGCGTACTCGTTTCTTAATGGGTAGTGGGATACCTCACCAATCGGCGCCACAAGTGACGCAATTTGGCAAGTGCCAAACGGGACTTCGCTATCCGAGTTGAGATTTTTATCGATAACCAACCCGTTCGGGGTGACACAACTTCCCAAATTAAGTGAAGTGGTCGACACATTCCACCACTTCACTCCCTATCAATAAACTGTAAGTACTTGCCACCGACCAGTCCTGGGGTGTAGTCGTATATTTGACAGGCGCGAAAAGCATGCTAAGCACTCAGTTTTCTGCATTCAGAGGACCCTGCATACTTCAAATCATCCAGATGCCCGCCTGTCCTAGGGAGTATATCAATCCCTGTGAAGTCAGACGTACCTAAGGTTATCTCTGTTAATACATAGATGACGAAGTAAGTAGGAACGATGACAGTAGATACCCCTGGAGAACAACACTGGAGGAATAAAATTGTGATTGAGTCATTTAAGGGTGTTTTAAATTGATATATATTTCATATTAAACATTGTTCGATTCAAAGTTTGTATTTGTAGTGTTTTAATTGGATTCCAAATACTTGTTTATGGTGTCAATTTTAGTCTTCCACACGGAGCTGCTTCAGCCGGTACATTAAGAAAGCTATCGAAACGTGGGAAAGAATTTGTGTCCCCAGTGAAACCACGTCATCCAGATAGTCTTCTCCCAGAATATTTAAGTAGACCAGATCGTTGTCCAGTTCGCTTATTTGAAGCTTTCTGTTCACATAGACCGTGTTCATCAACAGCTATTGAATCACCGTTTTACTTACAGCCTGATCGATCTCCTTCTTTAATGCATCCATCGACTGTCAATAATGTATGGTTTACGTCGAATGCACTTGGTAAAAATAAAATCGGTTCAATGTTGAACGGTGCACTACAAAGTATTGGTATACCCGTTGGAAGGCAAGTGAGTCTAGCACGATTTTGTGATGCACTGATAGCTGCAGCTTTTTCTCAACCAAGTAGTGGTGATGATGAAAATGTCGATGGTACTACTGATGATGGTGATAGTAGTAATGTTGGTGGAGCATTACGTAACCTGTTATTAGTGAATTGTCAATCAAATAAACAAATTCCAGAATCACTTCAGCCAATTATTGCAATGTATGCAGAGAATATTGTTCAAATGTCAAGAACTCCTGGTTCATCTGTCTACGTATATCTTGCTAAAATATGTGAAATGCAAAAGGCTTTGGGTAAAAAGAGAAAGGCAGATACTAGGTTGAGTAAAATTTCATCGAAATTCTTATTTACTACTTCTACTACCACTACTAACGATGATGATGATGATGACGACGATGAGGATGTTGAAGATGATGACGGTAATGGTGATATTAATCATACTAACAATGTTGATGATAATCATTCAATTGATTTCACGAGGAATTTACCAGTTACAACGGATAATATAAATCATGGTACATCTGGTGCGATGAATGTTAACTATTTGAAGGCCTCACCTTCATTACCAACGCTTACATCAGGGAATCTTTGTATCGATTCGAAACAGGCGGGAATTTGTTACAGGTAAGATGGTTCTTTTTCGTTTTACTTCGTTTACTTCAACTCATAATCTAATTACTTAGTGGGTAACGAAATTTTGTCAGTCTAGAAATGTAGTACTAAAACATTGCATACCTAGAAACAGTTACGAGGATGCTGTTGAACTGCTTGCTATCATCTGCAAGTAGAACAGAATTCATGTTTCTCATATCAGATTAAAACTTTTATTCATTATCATGACTAATCCCTAGTGTGTTTATAAGTTGTTCAATGAGAATGGTATTTTGAGCATGATCACTGGTCGAAAGCTATTGAATAAGCATATTGATACTGAGTGGTGATTAAAGGTGAAATGAAAATCTAGACTTTAGGAGGATTCGAACCAAGTTACCTTCACGTTACCGGTTCGGTGCTCTACGAATTCAGCTACGAGATTCGGCTGCTGACCAAATCCTAATTTCACTTCAATCAGCAAGTGTTTTACTCGACTGTCATGGCAATTCATAACGCATTACCACCGCTTGATCGTATTCACACTGGCTGCTCGACCAATCCAAATAGAACTGAGTTAGAGAGGAGGAGGACCATACTGATTATGATTTTGGCTATCTGAATGAAATAGCTCTTGGTTTAGCAGATTGAGTATTAGTACTGAGTGATGATTGAAGGTGAAATGAAATGTTTACGTTTCTCAACTAATACTTGATTGGAGACATGATCACCATTGTCGTTTATATTTTCATTATAACATGATAAATTACATTGCACAGAAATCCTTTTTAAAATGTTTTGTATCATGTTCTCTTTGTAAAAGTTCAGGATTATCCTCCATAACAGTTAAATATTATTCACTAAAGGTCTCAAACTATTTTATACAGTAACTACGGAGCTGTGGTTGGTTGGTTTTGGGAGATGATTTTCAAACCCTTGTGTCGTGGGTTCGAACTCAGCCTCAAGGTTTGGGCAGCTAGGCAGTTGTATCATTAGCCCTCACAAAATAGGTGTGGTTCATTGCGTAATGAACGAATGTGCACAAGGCTTTTGGGTGCTGTACAGTACTTATTTATTCATACTTGTAATTTCCTGTTGTTGTTATTCTGGATTGAATTGATCGATTTTTATTGGCATATGGGCTTCTATGTAGATGTCTCGTTATTACCTGATTATTGGTTATGTTTTAATTTGCTTGGTGGTAGCTAAAAGCTAAATCCAGGAATCAGGTTTCATTCTATTCGAGACTCATCAGCTGGATGTACCTGCACTTCATTGAAACTTGGACGTAGCACTCATCGTTGCACTAGAGGTGGTTCTCATATCCCAGTGGCCTATTGGATAACACTTTGGCGTTTGAAGCGATGCGTGCTGAATTCAGCTCTCATTTGGAGACACCATCAATCATCAGGGTGCATGTACATTCAACGGGCAATTCCCAAATACGACGAAGCATGTGTCTTGTATTCCTAATGCAATTGTTCAAAACAACCATCACTTAAGGATACTCTAGTCAAATAGTATTCAAACGTTTCTACAAATTCATGATTCTAGTCTCTTAGTTTTAAATCTTAGTCTGTTATATGGTCTGTATAATTAGGAAGTCAATCTACAATGTAAAGTGTTATTTTGAGCAATTCAATCTCTCTTTTCTTCTCCTTGAACTATGCTTGATCCTTAGCTTTTCTCTTAAAAGTTCACTACTCTTCTTTTCAGTTGTTTAACCTCTATTCTCATAAAACAATCTTCAATGATTGAGGGTAGGAAATGAAACTTTACTTAAATGAATATGTCTTTTGTAGAGAAAAGAGATAGGGTGAAGATGATTTCAAGGAGACTGTTATTGTAACCATAATTCAAACTTATTGATGTGTCAAATACAAAACACATGTAGCCTCATCCTATTGTAGTTATCATTCTTCTAATTATCAAGACTATATTACGTCAATCGTTTCTATTGATCAAAATTAGAGTTCAACTCCCATTCCGTGCAGTGGGCACATTTTTACTGACTCAAAGTACAATAAGATTTCTTTGTTGTGAAAATTAGAACAAGACATGTAAACGAACTATGAGTTGAGTTCACTTGAATCCTTCTCAATTAGCTAATTATTTCAACTCAAATGAAGGATAAATTTTCAAGTTTTTGCCATTTGAATGTGTATTTATCAATTGAATTGCTTCTACGCGGACAGTCATGTCAAGTATGCTACTGAACAGTATAACCGATGTGTTATTCAGAATCTGCCTTCATAGTTTTCAAAGAAACTGGTAAAACCTTTATGGAGCTCCAATTTTTTTTCACTTGTTTCATGGTAATCACTGAATCCTTCTGAGCGGTACACGTTGCCACATCATGCAGCTGTACATCAAGTTAGGCGGTGGTGAAATCCTAATTTAGTTTGAGTTTTATTGTTACGTGTAGTTGTCGCTATATGGTCTTAGTCTTTCCTTCGAAAAAGTTTGTTCAAATTTACTCTTCTTCTTGTCCACAGATAGCTTATAACAAATTCAAAACTGTTTTCATCGTTTTTCAACACTTTCAAATTGTCATAGAATTTATATACATACTCTATATTTATCCACTTCATTGTTCTTTTAGTATCACTCTTTAATGCTTTCTGCATTCCCGGTACCATTGACTAATACGCGTCATGGGTTAAATATTGCTCCACTTGTCAATTTCTAAGCAACTAGGTAATAGAATTAACCATCGGAGCTGTGATTCATTGGTGTAAGGAGGTGACTATCACACAATAAGCCATGGGTTCGAACCCAGCTCCATTTACTGAGGTTTGGGAAGCCAGGTAGTTGCATCATTAGTCCTCATACGATAGGTGTAGCTCATTGCCTACTGCATAAATGTGCACAAGGTTACTGGGTGGGTTATCCACTGCAGCCACCTCTTGTGCAATGGGTAACAAGTATTGTTTAATACTTATAATCTCTCGCACCTGCGTAGGAGCCCATCTGTCAACAGAGGTCAAGTAGTTCGACCCAGTATAGCAACAGATTACAAGTATGAAACAATATCTCCAAATCAGTTTATTCTTCACTGATCAATTAAAAAATATTGTTTTTGAGAAACAAATGCCTACCCTTTTATAAGTTTTGAATGGGCAAAGTGACTTATTCTAATACTCTCCTCTCTACACTTTGCCAGAAATATATTCTGAGGTAGTACTCATCACGGGCCGATATCAGTTGAAGAGACATTGGAAACCTGGGAGCACTGGACAGCTGTTTCGTCTCATAATAGGACTCCTCAGCATTACGCAGTCATCACCCGGCTAGGGATCGAACTTAGGATGTTCAGGCTTCACAGAGAATGCGTTCACCATTCAGCTACTGGGTCGGAATTTAGTGACTCACAGTTTCCAACTTCTGTCAATTCGTGACCAGTCGGAAGGGAAGCGGATGCCAGCTGAAGACTTTGGGTGATATTCTTGCTATATCGTGAATTGACAGAAGTTGGAAACTGTAAACCACTGAACTCTCACCCAGTGGCTGAATTGTTTAGCATGATCGCCGTGAAATCTGAAGATCCTGGGTTCGACTCCTAGCCAGGTCGTGGGTGTGTACTGCTGAGAAATCCCACATTTGGACGAAACAGCTGCCCAGTGCTCCCACGTTCTCAGTGGTTCTCCAACTGATATCAGTCAGTGATGACTACTATCTCAGAAATATATCCGCCATTTTGCTTGCTCCATCTTTTTCCTCTATCATATTCCGTCATCAGTATGTTCCAGTTTAACTTGTTGATGAATTGTTTGTTGTACGAGTGTGTATCCTAGAGTGCTCAGTATATATTTAGCATAGCATAAAACTACGCAATACACTAGTATCTCATCAATATGCTTCATTGGTTGAAACACTTCCTTCTAAATGATGCTTCTCGGTTGGAATCCTGCCCCACCTACCGACCCCTGGACAACCAGGTAGTATCATAAGACCTTATGAAATAGGTGTAGCTCCATTGTCTGTCTACTGGACGAATGTGCATGTGGTTGCTCATCACATTTCGATCTTCTGTGAAGGTGGCTAATCAGACAAACTAGATGGTTGTTTTTCACATCATAAGTCATTTTTTCTACCCTAACCATTTTTAAAGCTAATAAATCCGTCAATATAACCAACATGTATGTTTGTAAAAGATTTACAACATCCTTGCTGATGTCACTCCATGATGAGGTGAGGTCATGGGTACGCACTGCTAAACAGTCCCATAATGGGATGGGCCAGCTGTCCAATGCTCCCAGGTTTCCAATGTTTCTCCAACTGATATCAGTCCATGATGAACACCAACCTGGAGTCAATCATCAATAAAAGCCCACACAGAAATTCATTTTCAAATTGAATTGTTGCTTGTTGTTCTTTAAGGCATAGAATTAAATAGCTCTGACTGGTTGAAGACAGCACAGCATGATGTCATTTACATTTGAATAGTGATGAGTTTTGTTTATTTCCCACTGTGTTACCTCTGTTTCATTTGTACAAATGTGTGTATTTATGAAAGAGAGGTCAAGAGAGATGACTCAGCTGGTAGGATGAATCAATTAATTTATACATCTCCCTTTGAAGATGCAACGCATCATTATCATATCGATCATTGTACATGTAAAACATCACATATGGTGACGATGTGCTGTCTAAAAAGAAGGTGAAAAGAGTAAGCAAGAAGTAGGAAGATGTAATCACTTGAGGATAAACAAGATGTCACAAAATCAATGCTTCATGTTATTTGAATTCTTAGTTATAGTAAACTATCTTAGCAAAAGGTATTTGCAGCCATTCATTACTTTATACTGTAATAATGATGATGACGATTGACATTATGGTAGATTTGGAGTTTGTAATGTGGAAATTCAATTAGAAAAATAAAGGTATCCTAATTTTTTTTTTACTTCAGTTCAATGAATTAATAATTAATTCATTTGTCTCTTGGGTTCCTAGTGGAACATAGGGCTTCAGTAGCAAGTCTCCATTCCACTCTGTTCTCTGTAATCTTATGAACCTCACTCCATGGCAGCTCA